CTGGCCAGAATTAAAGGCATGTGCCACCATACCCACCATTTCATCTCTGTTAAATTCTAATTTTCTTGTTTTTCCCAGGAAACACGAACCCTAGCGGAAATTGCCAAAGTGGAGTTGGATAATATGCCACTCCGTGGAAAGCAGCTACGTGTGCGCTTTGCCTGTCATAGTGCATCTCTTACAGTCCGCAACCTTCCTCAGTATGTGTCCAACGAACTGCTGGAAGAAGCCTTTTCTGTGTTTGGCCAGGTGGAGAGGGCTGTGGTCATTGTAGATGACCGAGGAAGGCCCTCAGGGAAAGGCATTGTTGAGTTCTCAGGGAAGCCAGCTGCTCGGAAAGCTCTGGACAGATGCAGTGAAGGCTCCTTCTTGCTAACCACGTAAGTGGAGTTTTCAGACAATGTTTTTTGGATTCCTTAATCTTTCTTTGGTATGGAGAGTTAACGTCTTGTAATCCTATTCCTATTTTTATTTATTTAAAGACAACATTAACTCAACTTTTCTAATAATGATTTTCAGTGTAATCTTAAGTAGTTATGTATATATGTGCATGTAAATGCCATAGTGCACACTTGGGAAGCCAGTTTTCACTCCTTCCACCTCTACATGGGCTTCAGGACCAAGCTCAGGTTGCCTAGTTTTTTGTTTTTTGTTTTGTTTTGTTTTGTTTTTCGAGACAGGGTTTCTCTGTAGCTTTGGAGCCTGTCCTGAAACTAGCTCTGTAGACCAGGCTGGTCTCGAACTCACAGAGATCCGCCTGCCTCTGCCTCCCGAGTGCTGGGATTAAAGGCGTGCGCCACCATCGCCTGGCCTTCAGGTTGCCTAGTTTGCATGAACAAGTGCCTTTATCCATTGAACTGTCAAGATGAAGAGATGCCTCTGTGGTTAAGAGCATTGTCTGCTCTTGCAGAGGACCTGAGCTTGATTCCCAGCACCCACCTGTTGACTCAGAATCAACTGTAACACTGGGCAGGTGGCACATGTCTTTAATCCCAGCATTCCAGAGGCAGGTAGATTTCTTAAGTTTGAGGCCATCCTGGTCTACAAAGCGAGTTCCGGGACAGCCTGAGCTGTTAAACAGAACAAAAACAAACAGAAAAGCCATCTGTAACTTCAGGATCTGATGCCAACCTCAGCAGGAACCAGGTGTATGTGGTACATCGACATAAAGGAAAAAAACATACATGTGGAATAATCATATCACATTTTCTCATTTTAGAATTCTGGAAATGTAGTGTCTCATCATTTTCTCTCCTTCATTTTCTAGAGTTACCAAATATTAGATAAGTACTCTTCCAACATACTGACTTACTTTTTTGAGAGATCTGAAACTTGGGCTGTTAACTCCAAATTATCCTTAATGCCAGTAAGAAGGACTTGGTTATTTGGAGTATAAAAATCTTGTCAGAAATATGTTTAGATGTGGGAATTCACATCTATAATCTCAGCACTTGGGAGACTAAAAAAGAGGAGTTAACTCCATTAACTTGAGACCAACCCAGCTTACAGTTTGAATCGTTGCCAAATTCCCATTCCTGGCAAAAATGTTGTAGTTGTCCAGTTCTGAAGTTCTGATCCCTAATTAGTTCATCATGCCAGTGTTAAGCATAGGGAACATGCTTCTTGGGGTATGGCTTCATTTACACTAACTCCTTCCTTTACCCAGATTTCCTCGGCCTGTGACTGTGGAACCTATGGACCAGTTAGATGATGAGGAGGGACTTCCAGATAAGCTGGTTATAAAAAACCAGCAATTTCACAAGTATGTGGTCCAGATGGTGGTGGTGGGGTGTGTGTTTATATGTGTGGTGTTGGTGGTTGAACACAGGACCATAACCTGTTTGACTACACTTCCATCCCCTAGTTATTTTCCCGTTCTTGAAATTTAAAGGGGTGTTTAAGAGTCATGTCTGTGTGTACATATGCATTTGTGTGTGTACATTGTGCATATCTTTTTATTTATACATAGATGTGTGTGTTCGCTTGGCTCTTAGAAAAGAATGATTCTAAGAAGTTTTGGACTAAGTACATATATAATATTTACTGTCTATAGGGAGCGAGAACAGCCACCCAGATTTGCACAGCCAGGGTCCTTTGAGTATGAGTATGCCATGCGCTGGAAGGCACTCATTGAGATGGAGAAGCAACAGCAGGATCAAGTGGACCGCAACATCAAGGAGGCTCGTGAGAAGCTGGAGATGGAGATGGAGGCAGCACGCCATGAGCACCAGGTTATGCTAATGAGGCAGGGTGAGTATAGGCCCGTGGTTGTAAAAGTACAATAAATTTCAAATGTCATTTTTTGTTCAATAATTTCTTTGTCCTTCGATAGAATAAAACAAATTTCTGCTTTTGTTCCCTGAAATAACTTAGTTGATTTTGATGGGGGTGGGTTTGGAATATTGAATATTAGATAGATTCTATGAAGAAGCAAATAGTAAGGTTTGAGTTAATTTGGATAGTCATTCTGGGATTGTATACTGTTTTAGTTAAGGTTTCTAGTGCTGTGATGAAACACCGTGGTCAAAAGCAATTTGAGGAGGGAAAAGGTTTATTTTGTCTTAGAATTACAGATAACAGTCTATCATTGAGGGAAGCTAGGGCAGAGACCTGCAGGAAGGAACTGATGGAGAATTTTATTAGGTTGCTCCTCATGGCTTGTCCACCCTGCTTTCTTTCTGTTTTGGGGGTTTTGTTTGCTTGCTTGAGGAATGGTTTCTCTCTGAAGCCCTGGCTGTCCTGGAACTTGTTCTGCAGACTAGGATGGCCTTGAACTCAGAGACCCACCGCCTATGCCTCCTGAGTGTTGGCATGAAAGGCATTGTACCACTATGCCTGGTTTACCCTCCATGAGTTGGGCTATGTCACATCATTCAAGAGAATGCACCGTAGGCTTGTCCACCAACCAATCTCAATTGAGGTTCCCTCTTCCAAAATGACTATAGCTTGTGCCTAGTCAACATCTTTGCTTTGTGGATATTTGTGGGAAATTATTGTATATGAAAAGAAAACCAAAATCTCAATCTGTTGCTAGATTTGATGAGGCGTCAAGAAGAGCTTCGGAGAATGGAGGAGCTGCATAACCAAGAAGTTCAGAAACGAAAGCAGCTAGAGCTCAGGTAGCTCCTTTTGTTTGTTTGGGGCCTGGGCGCATGTTACAGTGTGTGGAGGCCATAGGACAACTTTTAGAAGCAATTCCCTCCTCCTATACCTGTGTATATACTGATGACCAGGGATAAACCTTTTTCAGAGCTGTCTCTCCAGCCTTGTAACTTCTTTTCTTTAACCTTTTTTTCTCCAAGAGTAATAATTTTTTTTTTCTTCTCCGCACCATTCTCTCTGATACATTGTAAATACTGGCAAATATGCTGCCTCTCAGGTTCTTCCTTTGGGTAAATATTTTAGCTGCATTTGGGTTCTATGGATTGCCTTAGGGCTTCAGTAAAGGGAAAGAGATGAGTGCTTGTTCCTGGATCTCTTTGGTTGTTGCCCTGGTACTTGGCAAGCTATGCAGGTTTTCGGTAAGGTTGTCTCTTTGCCTCAACCTTCTTCCTGTTCCAAGTGGTTTCCTCATGCTCTGGAATGCCTTTATATTAAAATAACTTGGTGGCTCTATAGGCAGGAGGAGGAACGCAGGCGCCGTGAGGAAGAAATGCGGCGGCAACAAGAAGAAATGATGCGGCGACAGCAGGAAGGATTCAAGGGAACCTTCCCTGATGCGGTATATCTCCTATGTGCCTATGATGTGCCAGGCCAGTTGTGATAAGACAGAACTACCATAAAATATCTGTTAGGATACCAGCTTATGACCAGTTTTTCTATGCTATAAAATTCCTTTTAGGAGAAAAAATATGTTGATAGGGAGGTGAGATAAGGTTTGAAAAAGAGCTCTTGCTTTATTGCAAATTTAGGATAAAAAGCCAGTACCACTGTTTATGCCCAGTGACAATAAGAGGTAAATCAAGCCCTGTAGCAGAATTTGGCTAGTTCACTGCCATCCATGTAGTTAGATGGTTTGCAGCCCCAAGAAGAAATTAGTACTTTCTTCCCCCGTTGCCTCTTTTTTTTTTTTAATATTTATTTATTTATTATGTATACAATGTTCTGTCTATGTGTATGTCTGCAGGCCAGAAGAGGGCACCAGACCTCATTACAGATGGTTGTGAGCCACCATGTGGTTGCCGGGAATTGAACTCAGGACCTTTGGAGGAGCAGGCAGTGCTCTTAACCACTGAGCCATCTCTCCAGCCCCCTTCTGTTTATTTTTTCATTGCTTTTATTGAGCTATACATTTTTCTCTGCTCCCTTCCCTTCCTTCTCTCCCCTTCTACCCGACTTTCTATTTCCTTAGACTGAGTTGGAGGGAAGCAGTAGGGAACTCAAATCAGTTTTTTGGCAGTGGTAGCAGTTGTTCTCGAGACAGAGTCTTACTCTATAGCCCAGGCTATCCCGGAACTCACTCTCATAGCCTAGGGGGACTCAAACTCTTAGAAAGCCTCCTGTCTCAGCCTCCTGTACTAGGATTACAGATGTGAGTCACCATACCAACCTTTGGTTTTGTTTGCTTT